TAGTTCAAAAGATTTTAGACTATTGATGACAGCATTCACTTTTTAATCTGTTGAGGTAGAATATATTTGTGGTTTTGTATGATATTTCCCAGAAGCATATCTACATATTTGTTCTTCAGAAATATTTTCAAATTTGTTCTTTTTCTTTTTGAGGATACCACCCCATCCCATTTCGCAACCATCACATTCAACTACTAGGTAGTCTGAATCGAGAGGTAAGGATAAAGAAGGGAGGGTTTTTACCATTTCTTTTATCTGCTTAACCAACTTTATGTCTTCAGAATTAAAATTCCTTTGTCCGGTTAAACTTGTTTTATTATATAAAGGGGCAGTAAATTTTCCTAGATCCTTTATAAAATTTCTTGCATAGTTAAGTAATCCTAAAAATGCTCGGAGAGTTTTCACATCTTCCATTTTATCGGGAAAAGCAAGAATTTTTTGTGAGATGTGGGGTTGGAGTTTTATTTTACCATTTCCAATTTCTGTTCCTAAAAAGGAGATATGGTGCCATGCATCCTGAACAAAGAAATAACCATGTCAGTATGTAATCATCAAATACTCAAAAGTACCAACACTAGTATAAAGGCATTCTTAGGAGTTGTCAACAATTACATGATAAGCAAATTCAATCTATTAACATTTTGAATGTACGATTGAATAATTGATCATTTGCAAATATTAAGCCAGTATACTATTTTTAAGAAAGAAACACAACTATATAAGAATAACAAATGCAAAAAACTTACCATAGCTGCTTGGGGGAAAACACCAAGTGCATGATGCCCAACGTTGCTATATAATGACAAGCACCACCGTTTCTTTGCACGAGGAGAGTAATATTCCGCAACAAATTTTCTCCAATAGGCAATACTATTATCCTGACGCAAAAAGAATAATTCAATAACAGTTTTAACCAATCCAGAACTTAAAAAATACCCAAAATATAAGTGTTCAGATATAAAATATAATAAACTATCTTGATAAATTCCTGAAATAAAAGGAGTAATCTTCAAAAGAAAACAAAAATAAACAGATATTATTATGAATGTCAAATATATTTAACACTCGAGATAGGCCATCACATGCAGCAAACATACAGAACTCACATTTGGCCGTTGCCTTTGATGATAGAGATACTGCATCAATCGACGTGCACAAACCCCACTAACACTACTGTCATATGCACGCTTGACAGCAGAAGAGGGCTGCATCATTTGTTGCTGAAATTGCTGCCTCAATTGCATTTGTTGCTGTTGTTGTTGCTGCTGCTGTTGCAACTGCGCTCGTTGTAATTGTGGCATCGACTGAAACATTTGCTGTTGTCTCAGTCTCTGCTGCTGTTGAAGCAAAGCCTGTAACTGTGGATTACGACCCTGTAATTGCATGGAATCTTGTCTCTGAAGAATCTGCTGAAGAACCTGTTGCTGCATTATATCTTCCTGTTTGATATCCAGTCTAGGTTTCTTTGACAAATGAGACATATTATTTGGATCTTGAATGAAAGATCCTGGGACTTGTGCACTCATTTGAAGGGGAGAAAGACCAGTTTGAGATGCAGGCAAAGATGTAGCACTTGAAGCACCATGCGGCTGCTGCTGATTAGGCTGCAATTGTTGAGCATTTTGTTCTTGATGAGAGCTCTGTTGTACTACAGAGGAACCATCAATCACTGATGACCCAGAGATATTATTTGAAGTAAATGACATAGGTGATGCAGGCAATCGTAAGTATGAATCTGTGTTAACACTGGCACTTCTCTGCAAATGGGGACCACCAGAGAGAGCAGAATTTGCATCTGTGACTAAAGAACTGGCTCCGACACTTGGTGCTGAGTTTGCCACACTGTTCAAAGCTGAGTGCACCCCGTGGCCGGAACAAGTATAACATTAATATTAATATTAAAAAGGAGTTTAAAAATAATAAATTAGGATAGTTTAATTTAATCTAAATATATATGTATGGAAAATGCTAATCAATTCTTTAGAATACTCCTTAAGAAATAAAAGTAAAAAAAATTGAAAAAATATCTTTATATTCTTTATCAAACTTAATTTATTATTATTTTTTTAAAATTAATGTGTTTCTCAGTTGAAAGTTAAAGACTAATTCTCTAATATATTGATATTCATTTAAAAGAGTTAATCTCTCCCAACAAATATTTTTTTCATATACATCAATTAATGATTGAATTCTAACTATATCTTTAAGAAACAAGATTCTCTATCAAATATGTCATATGTTATTGGTCTCTCATTGAATTTTATTGTAATTTGCATAAAAAAAAACTTTCACATGTTATTTTTTTAACTATTGTCTTAGAGCATCTCCACTGTGGGGTGCTTGTGTTGTATCTTATCTTTAAGAACCGTTGCTTACAAGAAACCTGTATTGAAGTTTGATTATGTGGCACAAAAAGGAGAAATTTTTTTAGCTCTGTTCCTTTTTGAAGCAACGGAGCTTGGGTGTATGAATCTTTGACATGGAGCATTATGATTGGATAGAGAAATATCTCCCCTCCGTACTAGAACGACAAGAAAATACCAAAGAAAAACTAGGAGCAAGCTTTCCAGGCGACCATCACCCTCCATGGCCCTAATCCGACCTCCCCGCCACCCACAGCCACACCCACCACCGTCAGCCCCCACCCACACCCACACACGCCAACCACACCGAAGGAAAAAGACCCAAGGTACAAAGCATTTCAAACACTGGATTTGGTAATATTATTAATGAAAATTGATAACTTCAATTGCTAAACAGTTAGGCTATACAATGTATCATTAAGGACAATGCAGTGTATCACTAAGGACAATGGCAGCAGATTTTATTTCATTGTTAGTCAAACTGAAATGAATCACTTACTACCAAATTGACACTATACAGTAAAGGATGAAATGACATGGTATTTTTCCTTAAAGTCATTAACGATGTACCCCAACAACAACAACCTGTTCTTGAAGAGGTAAAACCTGAAGTAAAGGAAGAGGATGCACGGGGCTAACATTTCACCACACAACCACATGCAGGGAAGGATCTAAGTTAATCATATTGGGGGCACTTGCCCCACTAAAATTTTTTTCATTCTTTTTTTTATATATAAAATATTAATAATTTTATAAAATATATATTATTAATTATATTTTAATTATGTTGTTATATCTAATATAATAAATACATTAATATTTTTTTATATTTTATTTTATTGTTTAATTATTTTTTATTTTGTGATAAAATTATCTTCATTTTTATCACTCTAATTTTAAATAAGTTGCAAAAAATTATAAAATGACACTTAAATATTTTTTCAGATAGAAAGAGAAAAAGGAAAACTTATCACTATATCTATAAGACAATTGTATTTTATAAAAATAAGTAATTTTAAAATTTTTACAATAAAATATTTTTCAAAATTATTATATTTTTTAATAAAATTAATATAGAATATACTATTGTTCTCACGCGTTTTGGAACGGGCCGTTTTAGATACAAAATTGACACACCAAGAGTGCACCCAGAACGGCCCGTTCTGGTTTCAGAACGGGCCGTTCTGGTTCTAGGTGTTTTCAAAAAATTTGGCATCAACGTGGCATCCACCTATGCATCTACGTGACATCCACGTGGCCAACAATTAATTCCGTTTAAATAATTTAGACGGAAGTCTAACATTGCAACCAATTAATTTATTAGAGACCAAATTAAGACCAAAAATAAAAGTGGGACTAAATTGAAACAAACAATTATTATAAGGGACCAAAATAGGTTTTTAGCCTTTTCTTTTGGTTAGATAACTACAGAATATGGTTAACAAAAGGGAAGCAAAATCACAAATTCTAATATATGCTTAAGATGGCATGAGATGCTAATAGTTTAGAATAATATCTGTCATAAACCGACTGCATAACTTAAAGATCTATGTTAAAAAAATGATATTTTTGTAGAGAACCAGAATACAAGCAAGCATGCCAACAAATGAAAATCTTATACTACAGCTAGATCTTTTAATTTCTTTGTTTGGTTATTGACAAATTGACATGGAATAGTATAAGTACTTTTTACTGAAGTAGAATTTTGCATAAAAAGTAAACTGAAACATGCAAAGCCCAAAAGAGCTCGCATCACCTTGCCACTAACAGCTCTTGTGCCACCAAACCCAACAAAAGAAGAAGAAAAGATGACATTCAGAGAAGCCCATACATGTAGCAAAATAATATTTTGCGTCATATTTTCCTTTCTAGAATTGTTTCTACATCTATCCAGCCAAAAAATAAAAAATAAAAATGCACCATACCAAAATTACAAAAAAACATAAGGCATGTAATCAACAGATATATATTAACTGAGAAGGATTTACCAAATACGCCAATCACAAAGGAAAAAGTACATTAACGTACATGTTGCTGTTAGTTTGTAAGTCTTGCTGAGAAACCCCATCTGCCCCACTTTCAGCAATTGTACTCTGGCATTTTTGAGCCAACTGAACTAATTGGTTGACCTACAAAAGAGTGAATTATATGAATTAGCTTCCAAAACAATACACCTACATTACCATAACAATCAACTTTACTTCAGACAGGTGAGCATTATTTTGTGCCAATCATCAGACGCATTCAAAACAACTAGTACATTATGGGTAACTTTCATCTTTAATTTCCTTGATCACCAGATCCACTTCATAAAATAAGAAACTTTACTTAATGCCTACCAATTTCCATATACCCAAATGTCTATATTACTATTGTCACCATTTAGTACTTATCATTTGTGCATACAATCACAAGAAATATGATGCAAAGAAAACACAAGCATACAAGGAGTTAACTATACAATCATGAACACATGCAGAATTTGCAGAGTTTTTCTGCAGAAGTATTCCAAAGTTTCCAAACATGCAAAGTAAACAAAAGTAGACCCACACTATTAATTAAATCAGACAATAAATGAATATTTACTTTAACTGCCAAATAGCACCATCATCTATACAAAATAAAGAGTGGTTACAACCACGGAATAGATCAATCTAAAGAATGTAAAATCATACCTGAGGTGCAACCAACCTTCGAGGAAGAAGTTCTTCATGGCGCCTTGCACAGAACTCCCAAGACAGTATCTGTGCAAATTTGACAAGAACTTCAGGAGGTCATTTAATTTTAAAAAAAAATAAAATAGAAAAGATATTTAACAATAATAAAAATTTTGAAACCTTCAAGTCTTGAGTGAATATGATTCGAAGTTGACCTTCACGAACAACACGAAGCTGCTCATATACACTCTCTTGAACTGCTTTTGCAAATTCTATCATCATTGCACCAGACGGAAATCTTTGTTCACGTGATGAGTCCAGAAACAAAAGTTCATCAATCACTCCACTGCCAAATTTGATTTCATTAAGTCTAGGTAATACTTCATAAGTTGCCTCTGTAAAGAAAATCCAGAATGGTCATATTAGATTACAAGATTAACATCAGAAATTAAATAAATAACAAGCTAATTATCTAGTTTGCAGAAACATCCAGTGTGCAAGCTGTGCATCTTCAACTATGACAAACTAATAAGCACTTGGTTATATTAGATTTGATTATTATTGACAGCATTTTAGTTCAGTTAACTTTTTCTAACTTTCAAGTTTAAATAAAGTTACAATTAGGAATGTGTTCACTGGTTACTGGGTCAGCACTGACTGCACTAGTACTAGTCAACCAGAAAGTTAAAAAAAAATGAAATACAAATCAGAACTTTATAATGAAATTAAATTTCCACAATCATATACTATATAATAACGACATAAGGGCCAGTTTGGTTTGGTTTGCTTTCATTTATTACTCTCAAAAATTACAAATATGTCAATTTGTTTTCTCTCTGATACAAATAGTGAAAACAACAAAACTCCTATTTACAGCTTCTTATACAAATTCTTTGAAAACAGGAAATTAAGTGAAATGAAAGTAACATTTTTATAATCATTTATCAGAAAAGTAAATGGAAATAGAAAAAGTTTTCTCAAGTCATATAGCCCCAATATTTTCATTTTTCATATACTTACCAAATCCCTTTCCAGATTTAGAACCACACAAGTCACAATGCCATGCATCCTGAACAAAGAAATAACCATGTCAGTATGTAATCATCAAATACTCAAAAGTACCAACACTAGTATAAAGGCATTCTTAGGAGTTGTCAACAATTACATGATAAGCAAATTCAATCTATTAACATTTTGAATGTACGATTGAATAATTGATCATTTGCAAATATTAAGCCAGTATACTATTTTTAAGAAAGAAACACAACTATATAAGAATAACAAATGCAAAAAACTTACCATAGCTGCTTGGGGGAAAACACCAAGTGCATGATGCCCAACGTTGCTATATAATGACAAGCACCACCGTTTCTTTGCACGAGGAGAGTAATATTCCGCAACAAATTTTCTCCAATAGGCAATACTATTATCCTGACGCAAAAAGAATAATTCAATAACAGTTTTAACCAATCCAGAACTTAAAAAATACCCAAAATATAAGTGTTCAGATATAAAATATAATAAACTATCTTGATAAATTCCTGAAATAAAAGGAGTAATCTTCAAAAGAAAACAAAAATAAACAGATATTATTATGAATGTCAAATATATTTAACACTCGAGATAGGCCATCACATGCAGCAAACATACAGAACTCACATTTGGCCGTTGCCTTTGATGATAGAGATACTGCATCAATCGACGTGCACAAACCCCACTAACACTACTGTCATATGCACGCTTGACAGCAGAAGAGGGCTGCATCCTTTAGTGCTAATAATTTTCTAGAATGACTTATCAATTAAAATCAATGCTTAATTTTTAATTGTTAGTCATTGAATAAGGGTGAATGCATTGGAATTACTCATTTATCATGTCCATTGTTCTGGTAATCGATTACAATGAATGGGTAATCGATTACCAGAGAACCCTTTAAATAAGTAAATTTTGAACATATGATTATTCAATTGTCTGGTAATCGATTACATGTATAGGTAATCGATTACCAGAGAACCCTTTAAATAAGTAAATTTTGAACATATGATTATTCAATTGTCTGGTAATCGATTACATGTATAGGTAATCGATTACCAGACTCTTAAAAACAATGGTTTCCTCAAATCTAGTCATAAACAGTTAGTGAGGGATTCATCCCAGTTAGTGACGGATAAAATCCGTCGCAAATTGTGACGGAATTCTGGCGTCGCAAATTGTGACGGATTCTACTTAATTAAAGTCATCACAGTTTGTGACGGATTTAATCCCTCACAAATTGCGAGGGATTTAATCCCTCACAAATTGCGACGGATTTTTATTAATTTCTAAACATTTATTATTAGAAATTAGTGACGGAAATTATACTGTTTGTGATGCCTTAATTCCGTCACTAATTGTGACGGAGAAAATAATCCGTCACTAAATATTTTGTGACGCCAAATTTTGTGACGGAATCATTTCCGTCACAAATTCCGTCACTAATTGATTTGTGACGGATTTTATCAAAATTAGTGAGGGATTTGTTCCCTCTCTAATTTTAATTTTTCTAGTAGTGTATAGGCAATCTTTTCTCTTTTGATTTTATGTTATCTCCTATGGAGAAATCTGTAGGAGTAACTATTTGTTCTCTAGGGATAAATCCTAGATTGTAGTCTTCGGTGCTATAGTCAAAATGGTGGATTTGGTTTGTAATGTTACTACCATTGTAACTATCTCCCATTAAACCTTTGTAAGATTGGATTTCGGAAACTGGTTCAGAAACTACAGAATTAGTTTCTTCTTTTTCAAAAACTAATTTATTTTTGAAATTTTTATCTTCTTCCAACCAGTTTTCTAGATCAAAATCTTCCTCGATTTCTTTGAGGATAATTTGTTCTTCTTCACATTCTTCACTAAGTTGTGAGAAAAGTCTTTGTCTAAAAATAAAATCATCTTCCTCATCTTCAGAATCAGAGATTTCATTTTTATAACTTTGGGAAACAACTTCCTTTTGTTTTTCCCATTTTTCTACTGCAAGGAGCAGTTTTTTTGAGAGTCGGCTTTTCCCTAAGGAACTCTCTTCTTTGTTTTGGGTGTAATCCGGAATATAAGAATATCCTGTCCATAAATTCATGAAAGAATTTCTAGGGGGTTCTTCTTCTTCTTCGGGATTATGTTCAACTATGTCATCATAATCTGCAAACCTAATAGAAAGGTTGTTTCTTCGGTTTGTCATGATGGCTGTTTGTGGTGCTGTAATAGCAGTTCTAGTGGATCCGGAATTAAGATGGGTTTGCCATTCAATTCCTTGGTTTCTTCTAGATTCAAAGATTTGTGGTGGAAGAAATTGTATTCCATTTGATCCTAGAGAGGTAATCAATGGATTTGTATTGATCCTATATCTGGGAGATATATGATCGCTTATTCTTCCTATAAAGGTTATATCTAAGTGGAGATTATTTCCTTCAAAATTTTCTCCAAAACCTCTAGTTTGTACTTCCAGATTTATATTTTGAATAAAATCTGCAAGATTCATTGTAAAGTTAGGAGCTATGTATATAAGGGAAACAGGTTGGTTGAGGTCAACTTCAACTATCCCTATTATGGCCTGGGAATTGTTATCCCTAAACCTTCGGTCAAAAAGGACAAGGAAAGCTTTGGCTCCTACGAAGGATCTGGTTAGGGTTCTAATCCCTATAGTGATAAGTCCTAAGTGAACATATCTCCTCTGGGTACTTAGAAGCTGTCTACCAACTGGTTCAGAGATTAGTCTAATAATCTCATGTTGGTCGTCGGGTAAATGAAAGTCATCTAAACGACGATATCTATAAAGACTAGTTCTGTCTGAACTAAGCCAATTTAGATTGTATAGTTGTCTAGGATTTAAAGAATCTATCCTAGAATTTGTCCCAATATCTATATTGGATTGTATGTCAACTATCTCTTCTAGCTGGCGTGTGTTTGAATTTGTTCTTCTAAGAAATCTATCTAAGATTCCAGGTTGTCTATTTATTGATTCTCCTATGGGAGTATGTCCTGTAAGAGTTTGTGAGGTTCCTGTAAAAGGAAGGGTTTGTGTTTGAGTTCTGTTTGTCATTTTCTAGGCTTGGCTAGAATATATTTGTTAGAACTGGTGATTGTAGAGGTATTAGTTCCAAGACTGAGCTTAGAAAGTTGTTTAGAGATTTTTTCTAAATCTCCGTTTATTGGATGAGTTTTTGTTTTCAGGATTTCAAAAACCTGATCTATCTTGTCTTCCAAAAATTTTATCCTAGAAAGGATAATATTTTGGGTTTTGTTAACACTATCTAGATTCTCTATAAGAGTCTCTAGATCTCTCTTAGTGGCCAGAACGTTACCGCTCTGATACCAGCAAAAACTGGTACCTGAGAAAATTTGTTGGAGAAAGGGTGATATCACTTTCACTATATCTAAATTTTTTGAATCTATCACTAATAACAACACATTCTCTATTCTCTAATACACTCCTCTTAATATACTCATTTTCATTAGTTAAACGAGTTAATTAAGGATTTAATTATAGAGCATGAAAAATCAAATGACACAAGTTATTTTAGTTCGGTAATTTATTTTAAGTTCATATATATCCGAATATATAATCGCGTTAAATGCATGCGCTTCAGCTCAAAGTACTGTTAAAAGTCCTCACTTAGATAAAATACATGGATATAGTCAACAGCAAAGTAATCCAAAAGAAGTTTGGTTTGTTGTTGTAACTTGTAAGACTCAATGAATCTACCCACTGCTGCATGCCCAACATTGATCAACTCGCGTGACCAGTGCATCTGATCAAGATTCTCAATCATGGAGTCAAATTTTCAGTTTGAAGATTTGGAGTTGCCTATTCGGATTTCTCACAGCTACTTTTGCCATCATTTCTCAAAGTGAAAGTGGTTTTTGGATTCTTACTATAATGTGCTGCATGTGTCGGTTCGACTGTTCAGGATTGTAAGGAATTATGTATCGTTTTCCATGCGTGAATGGTTCATTTCTTGGATGCAGCAAAAAAAAAAAAAGGTATTATTTTTGTTTTGATATAAAACACAAGAATTCTCTACCGAAAGTCACGTACACACAAGATTAGAAATTATAATCCTCATTCCGTCCCATTATAAGTGATGTTTGAAGAAAAATCAATTCTTAAAATAATTGTGATGTTAATTTTTTAATATAGTATTAACTGTTTCTTTTTTATTTATATCCTTCATAATATTTTTTTAGAAAGAATGTCACATTGTTTCTAATAAAAAAATTAATTATAAGATTAATTTTGTAAATTTATTATTATTTTTTATCTATTTATTAGTTTTTCTTAGTTTATATAAAAAAAAACACACATAAAAAATGCACGCTTACATGAAGAATGTGTATACTTAATTTTATTTATATAAATATTTATAGATATGTAAAATTAATTTAAGTAAAATAAATATTTATAGATATGTAGAATTAATTTAAATAAAAGAAATTTAAAAATTATTCTATTTGTTCCATAACAAGTGTCACTACAAGAAATGTTACATGTAGTGACATACAAAAAGTTTCACTATATGTACAATATATATAGGTATATGTCTATAACATATAGTTACACACAATTTTAGTGTTGATTTTGAATGAAATTTAACAATATATTTTGTGTGTCACTATAGTTTATACCTACACTTTTTAATAATATACCAATATATATTATAGTTATTGTGTGGGTAAAAATAATTTTTAGTGACATTTATAGTATCACTATAGGGTATGTGTCACTATATGACAATTTTGTTGTAGTGTGTCATATTAGATTATTTTACAGAGATTAAGAGAAGTTAATAAAAAATAAAAGATAATAGAGATTTTAAAAAAATTAACCTTATAATTAATATTTTTTACTAGAAAAGATGCAACAAAAAATTTATTTTTTTATATAATATTATTAAGGATATAAATTAAAAAAAAAAGATAATTAATATTGTATTGAAAAATTAATATAATATTTATTTTAAAACTTATTTTTTTAATACGTCACTTATTATAAAACAAAGAAAGTAATAAATAATTAAATGATTAAAATTATTTTTATTTTTTCACTCGGACATCCCATAATAATAATAATAATATACTAAAAATTTGATATAGATGATAGATATAGTTAGAACAATATTATAAGATTAATTAGTTATGTTGATAAAATTTAATATTTGTAAAAAAGATATTAAAAATGTAAATTTATGAAGTTTGACATTTAATAATATTTTCAATTAGTCTTGTCTCGCTCAAAACATAATGTACATATTTGTACATAAAATATTATATATTGAAAGGTGCATGATGCATCGAAATGTATTGTATTTATGTCTCTCAATTTGGTTTCCAACCACTGGATGTCATACTTCTTTGCATGGTGTCTTGTTTTCCTTTGTATATTTCCGGATCTAAATTTCCTAATAACATAATCCAAAGTTGTTTTTAGATCATTCAAAAAAATATTTGTGTATCCATTTAGAGTATGTTCAGAAAAAATTGTGAAAATTAGATTATTATAATAATTAATTATGTGAATAATCAGTATTATTTTTATAATTGAATATAATTGAAATAAAATTTTATTTAGATAAATTTCTTGATGAGTAACTATAAGATGTTTAATTTTGTTTATATATAATAAAAATAATTTTATGTAGTAAATTAATTTTAAAAAAATATTATAAATAATCATACGTTTCAAATTTTCAACTTCGTAAAAATAGCTTATTTTCTAGAGCAAAAGTTGTTTACAA